AGGAACTAGGGGGCCCCTGGGAGGAAAAGAAGGCTAAGAGGGTAAGGGTTTCCAGGACTCACTTGGACTGGGAACCAGGCCCCAACCCTCAGCGGCCAGGTGACTTCCCCAAGTACTGGGGCACGCTGGGATGGGGCTCTGACGCCCCACTGACCCAAGTTTCCTTTCCTTACAGACGAATCCCCGTATACCACAGGTAAGGCACCCTGCCCAGTTACTGGGGAGGGGGGCTCCTCAACGAGAAGGGAAGGGCTCAATATCTATGTCAGTCTTGGGCTGACACCCGCCCTCTTTCTCTCCCAGGTGAAATGCTGAGCATAGGAGTGGGAATCTTGGTTGGCAGCCTCTGCCTTGTGGTGGTGGTTTATTTCATCGCTAAGAAAATCCAGTGAGGCCCTACTTCCCATTCTCTAGTCCCTTCTTTCCTACTGAAAAGCACTCTCCTAGTCCACTTAGCTGTCTCTCCTAGTGCACCAGTCATGTCCGTTCCCTGTTCCAGGAAGAAGAAGTTGGAAGACGAGAAGAGTGTGGGATTCACCTCAGTACAAGCCACGGAATAGACTCCATCTCGAACATCATGGACTCCTAGGTCATACCTGTCAGGGAGTGTCCAGAATGGGGGACAGAGACTGGCCAGAAATACAAAGCCCTCCTTCCTGCAGACAGTCATGGACTGGCTCTCAGTCAAGAAAGAACTTCAGTCTCTCAAACCATATAGGAGATGAGGAGAGCCCTACATTGATAATGCAGAGGGCACACTGTGTTTGGTTGTAGGGGAAGTTGGGAATGTGACCCAAATTCCCCCACCCCCTCTCCTTTATGGCTCTTTCGCTAGATACGGGCAGGATATCCCCTCAGGAAAAAGGGTTGCTGTTGTGGGGGTTATATTTTTTGCTCAATATATTTGAAAATTAAGGTTTCTGACCCACCTCTGGCTTTACCTTTGGGACTTTTGAGTGTGGGAGAGTTCCTTAATCCCTCAGGTGGCAGAGGTAGGCAAAGGATAGGGAAAAAGAAGCATGTGTGAGTAACTTCTTTTACCCCAATCCTCGGAGAGACCCTAGAAAATGCTTAACCCAAAGTTTCCGACATGTTAAACCACCAGCCCATGTTTCTGCCCTTGCACCAAACCTAGGTCAGGAGGGGATCGGAGGTGCCAAATTAGGAAGAAAGTTGCACCAGAGACGTGAGAGGACAGGAATCTCAACTAATGTTATCCCCTTCCTTAAAAGGCACGTTCCCCCACAATTATAAAGTCCTTTTTATTAGTCAAAATCACAGTCACCTTGATTAAAAGGATGGAACACGCCATCCTCAGCAGAAAATGATACAGTTTATAGAAAACCTCCCCACCCCACCCCCATACAGTCCCAATTAAAAACTAGAAAAAAATCTTCCCTCCTTCCCTACGATGTCAGGGTAGGCTGGCTCCTCCAGTGGCACTGTAGCTCCAGAGTGGGCCAGCTCACCACAGCACCCTCCACTTCACCTTGGGGAGAGGAGGGATGCTGGTGGTCAAGGAGGTTAAAACATTAGTTCCAGTAATACCAGTTCCCAAACATGCATTTCCTTCCTATCCCCCATGGGACCATGGAGAATAGGGGACAGATAGGAGCCCAGCTAGAAGGAGCAATTTGAGGAGGTTAGGAGAAGTCCAACATACCTCCTCCCTTTTCCTTCTCAAAAAAAAAGGAAAGAAAAAGGCAGTTTTGGGTCTTTATCACACCAAAAATGGTTCCCCTCAGACCTGAGAAAAAGACTAAGAAGTCCAGTCTGGGGCGGAGATACTGGGAAACTCAGAGCTCATCTAACCTTGCACCGCCATTAATTTCACCTTCATGGTGATGGCTAAGCTAGGCCCCTTTTCTTGGCCACCTGCACTGTCCAGAACTGGAGATGGAGAAATACAGAGCGAGGAGATCAGGGGAGCACCCCAGGCACAGGGGTTCCCCCCCCAAGGTTCCCTCAATCCTCGGGTGGGATGCGCAGGGCAGAATACACCATCACCTGACTGTCCTCCTGCCGTCGGCCTGCAGAGGGGAAGGGAGGTGAGTCTTGGGCAGGGTGGAAGCAGAGCACTGACACATGGAAAGTCCTGGGTTAACAAAGGGGTCCCCAGATGGTGGGGATAAGTGCAGACTCAAACCCACCAGTCACTGACTGGCTGACCCCAGGCTGCTCCTGGTAAAGCCTAAAGGTCACCAATGGACAAAGAAAAACCCTGAAGGTGGTGGGACAGACCGACGAGAAGGAGACAGAGAATGGTGAACGGTGGGCCGGGGCTGGGGCTGGGCTCAGTCATGGGCAGTGGGCAGACAGGTGGGATCTGTCAGGTGATCGGTCCAGGTAGTCAGTCCTTACACGAGAAGCTGCGCTGGATACTTCGGAGGGACCCTCCAGCTGTAATAAAGGCCCAGAGCCCCATGGAAACCGTGACTGCATAGATGGGCAGCAGGCTGGCCTCGTACCATGGGTTCAGGAATGTCTGGGGATGGGAGTAAGAGTAGAAAAAAGGTTAGATTCTTCCTCTGCCCAATCCCCATGTACTCTTTGTGCCTTTGACCCAAACCTCGCCCAGACATCTCACTCAAGTCCCCCAGGCCTTCCCTTCAGCACCAACATCTTGTGGTTAAGGAGACTTCTGATTTTCAGCTTCCTCCGCTCCTGCTCACCTCAGGCCATCTGCATTACAGCTTGACCCATCCATGCAAACTCCTCCCCAGAGCATCCCAGGGAAGGTTACTTCGTTGGTGCTGAAGTGAGGGACCTCTAAAGACTCACCTTTCTGCCTTCTCCCAAGATAAGTTTTTAAATGTTCAGAAGTGAAGATACGGTTCCCCTCCATACAACCCACCATTCAATTTTTCTCTGACTTAGGCCCCTGTCCCTGACTCACCAGTCCTGACGTCAGTAGGTGACTCCCAACCACCAGGCCCAAAGTCCAGTACCGTCGCCTCTCACAGGCATCAAAGAACACAACTCCCCAGAAGGTATGAAGCAGGATGATGGCTGCTGTCAGGAAAGCTGCAGGGAGCGAGAGGGGGAGGGGGAGATACATCCTTCACCTTCTCCCAGCCTCCTGAGATGCTGAGCCACCCGAAGTCTCCCCGGGAGGGCCAATACATGAGGTCAGGGTCAGGATGGGTGGGGCATGAAGTCAAGAGGAAAAAGTGGGTCTTACCTGATGTCAAGAAGTAATAGGGTGAATCTCCATGGATCCCAACCACACCTGGCCCAAGTGCATCGGCCAAAATATTGATAACAGAGAAGACACCACTGATGATACCGAAAGAAAGACCAGAAACTGGGGGGAGGGAGGGGCTCATCAATGTCAGAAATCAGTAGAGCCTGCTTACCAGTGATCCCGCCCCGTTTCCAGGCACAAGCCCCCACACCTGCTCTCCCTCCAGACCACCTCTCCTTGGAAGTCAGACATGAAGGGAACACGTAGCCACTTAGAACATGTGGGCGCTTAGAGACTTCCCAGAGAGAGGAAGCTGTCCACTGCCCTCCTCCAGCCCATCTCCCTTGGCTCACCATAGGCCATCTGGCGGATGGAGATGGGTGATCTTCCGTCCTCACTCAGCGACGCTAACCCCTCATCTGCCTTCCTGGGGTGGGGCGGGGCGGGGCGGGGGACACATGAGGGAAGGCAGGAGGCTCCTTTCCCGCTAATATCCTCCCTTCGTGCCTCTCCTTCCAAACCACCACCCGGGGGCTGCCCCACTTTCCAGGGTGCAATCCTCTGCCCTTCTCCCCTCCAGACCATCCATCTTCTTACTTAAGCAGCTTGTAGTAGGCAAAGCGGAACATCTCCTGTAGAAGGACAGAGACCGCAGCACCAAAAATCAGGAGGCCATACTGGAGCCGGGCATCTGACGGGTCGGTCACATGGACCAAGATGAACCAGACCACAGAGGCCAGGAGCAGAGAGACCAGCCAGAAAAACGCCCTGAGGAAAAACGGGGGCCATTAGACAGGCAAAGGGGAGAGGCAGCCCGAGAAATCAAGGAGGGGAACCAACCAAAGCTGCAACGTGGAAAGTGGAAGTTAGACTTCCGGATGGTCAGGGAGACAGGGAACAGATAAGATAGGTGTCTCCACCAAGGGAGTCTACAGGGTCCCGGACCCAGGGGATGGGGGAGAAATGGACTCGAGAGCCTTCAGACCAATGAGAGCGGGAGTGTATGCGCACAGTAGGGCGAGGTATCCATGCCTGGATCCTCGCTTAGGGCCGCCCGAAGTCCCACAGCCCCTCCCGAGCCCTGGCCGCGGCCGCCTCTGACGTCGCCGGAAGAAGTGTAGAAGGAATCTGTGCGATCCCTGGAAGGCGGAAACCAGCTGCGGGAAGGGGCAATCGCCCAAACCCCCGACTCAGCCCTTCCCGATCTTCCCCTCCGACTTGCCTCCCCCAACTCCGGCTCCCGGGTAACCCCACTTCCTCCAGCCCCTACCCGATCTCTCTCCTGGGCGCCCTCCCGAGTCACCCCGACCCCTACTCACCCTGCGACCAGGATGATGACACGAAGCGGGTCCCCAGCCACAGTGATCAAGAAGAGCGCGAAGGCCGGGCCGAAAGCGACAAAAGTGCACCCGAAAAACACTGCGGCCCCCATTGCTGGTCAGCTGGGGGCGGGGTGGAGGCCTGGCCAAGAGAGGCAAATGGGAGGAGCACGCCCGCCAGAGAGTCCGCGTGGGGTGGCGACGCGACCCCGTAAGGGGCGCGGTGCAATGTCACCCCCGGGCCCCGGGGAAGGGGAAGGGGGGGCACCGAAACCCCAAATACAAGTCCGCGCGACTTCCTCTACGGAAGCCGAGGAGGGGACAAACCCCTGCCGCAGCCCCTTGGCCACCTCCCATCTGATCCCCGCCCCGCCCCCCGGCCAATGGAAAATCGGAGGGGGCGCGGCGGGGGCGGGATGCAGGGCCTGCTGGGAGTTGTAGTCCTCCCGCCCTTTTAAACCCTCAACTTCGGTGATGGGCGTGGCTCAGACCACAAAGAGAATTGGCCGAGACTGGGCCTGGGCGGGGCATGGGTTGAAGAGTTAGATTGTGCCTTGGCTGTGATTTCCTTTAGTTATTTTGTGGGAAAAGCTGGTAGCAATCCTACCTCGACTTGAAGAGCTGCAGAGGGGGGAAGATCCTGTAGGAACCTCAGGGACAAATACGAAGAAAGCACAGGATAGAGGTTGCGAGGAGATAGGCACGGGTATTGTTCTGACTTGAATGAGAGGAAATGGGCTAGAGCTACTGCCTAAGGATGAAGGTTAGACTTAAAAGCAGGAGCTCTTCCAACAGGCCAGTATAGGAAACATGCAATACCGTGTAGTATATCGCCAGTGAAGCCTTCATCGGTAATGACAAGAGAAATAGAGAGAGGGAAAGGGAGCTTGGAGAGCAATATTAAGGAGGTCAGAAGGGATTCACAGTTAAAATTGTAAAAAGCAATTAGAGCGAAGGGGTTGAAGGAAAGTTACTTCCTCCCCACCCCCCATCCCAGTCACTCAGTTCCTTTGATGTCATATTTCCTCTTTTTCCTGAAATGAACCTTGGCAGTGTCTTTTTCTCAGGCTGGGGGGACAGGGCGGGGGTTACACATTAGAGCGAAAGAAAGAGTAAGAGAGGAGGGTGTTAGACCCTCATTTGGATGGGTGGGGATAGTCCTTAGTGAGGATGTTGAGGCAAAAGTACCAGGAGGTTGTTCAAGGAGAACCAGGCTTCCTTTCCTTCCTGGAAGTGATTTATGTTTTAATGCATATATATCCACATAAGTGTTTTTACATTTTTCTTTTTTTCAGGAAATTCTGGAAAGGAGCGGAAGGAATAGATTGTATGGATTTACATGGAAAGTCATCAAGCAAATCCTGTCCCAATAAGGCTGAGAGGGAGGGGGCACCCTGGCCAGTGCTCAAAATTCTAGTGTGTCTTGCATCTGAGTCTATCAGGCCAAGTCAGGTTAGACTTAAAAGCAGGAGCTCTTCCAACAAGATGTGGGGATAAGACAACGCTTCCTCTATCTCCTTTGAACCGGTACCACAGCATCTCCTAGGAGAGGAGAGCAGGTGCCAAATCTATCTTGTTCATGTGTGGTTCCACAGAGACTTGCAAGTGCCTGGCTCATAGTAGATATTGAAAAACATGTATTAACGCCCTTAAAAAGCACACACACACACACACACACACACACACACACACACTGTATTTTTTTAAATGTATTTTATTGACTTTTTACAGAGAGGAAGAGAGAGGGATAGAGAGTTAGAAACATCGATGAGAGAGAAACATTGATCAGCTGCCTCCTGCACACCCCGTACTGGGGATTGAGCCTGTAACCAAGGTACATGCCCTTGACCGGAATCAATCCTGGGACCCTTCAGTCCGCAGGCCGATGCTCTATCCACTGAGCCAAACCGGTTAGGGCCACACACTGTATTTTTTTTTTTCTTATTCTTTTGCCCGTGAACCTGAATTGCCTATCAGACTCTGCCTAGCACTTTGTGCCTAGCCTGTATGCTGCTAAATGTTTCTGAATAGAATTCAATAAAAAATGGAAAATATAAAAGTAGAGAAAAGGATAAGATAAGCTGTACCCCTGTAAGGCTGGAATGAAAGGAAGACACCAAGTGACTGAAAGTGGAAGAGGTGTGGCCCTACGCATAAGACACTATCTGCTTTCTCCCTTCCATCCTGTATTCAGCAAGTTAAGAAAGAGGTGAGGTGAGGTCAGTACTTACCAGAGAGGAAATAGCTGGCCTTGGCTGAGAGATTTTGATCAAAAGCAATGCAGCAGGTGCTTTGAGAGTCAGACAATGATGTTGCTATTGCTCTGGTACTTCACAACCCAAGGCAGGCAGAAAAGAGGGACTCTTTTCAGCTAGAAGATGCTCATCCCTTCTCAGAACATGTCAACTGTGAAGAAAGAGACTGTGATACAGCCTCAGAGAGAAGGGCGACTCTGGAGGGTGATGGTAACTTAGGGACAGTGAGAGGGGAGGGGAGCCTTTTGTGAGGACTGAGAGAGAGGGAAGGGGAGGAAGGGAGAGGGCTTGCTAAGAGAAGCTTCTCAGTAGTGGGAGTGGGGGTTGTTTTGTTGTTGTAGTTTTCGTTAGTGGCGGCGGCAGGAACCCTAAATGGACCTAATCTAGGGCTGGGGGAGCTCAATGAGCATGTTCCCATCGAAGCCCACTTCACTTTTCTTCACAGGGGCAGCTCTGACTGAGGACAAGACCAATAGTAACTGAGGATCTAGTCTGTCAGCAAGTAGGAGGGGAATTCCACCCCCGAGAGAAGAGTTGCTGCAGCTCCCTCCCTGCTTTGGAGGAGGGCCGGAGGCGGGGTAAGTTTGGTGGGAAACGCTGTAATTTCCTTTTTAACTTTCACAGTCATAGTGCAGCATCCAGAATGGATGTCCTCCTTGTAGCCATCCTTGCTGTGCCACTCGTCCTGGGTAAGTTCAATTCTCTCCCTGAGCTTTAGGGCCAGGTCTTCTACTGTAAATGGAGTGGGAGGGGGGAAAAATGAGGAGCGGTCGAGAGGTGCAATTCAATGGGGGAGTGATAAACACTCTCCCATCTGTGCTGCAGGCCAGTGTCGGGGGTGGAGGGGAGTCTGGGAAATACAGCCAGGAAAGGGGGAGGGAAGCAGAGTCCTGTCAGAGAAGAGACAGCTGATGCGGATGAAGCCGCAGAGCGTGGAGGTCCTAACAAGAGTGAACTCAGCTCTCCATCACTACAGAGCTGAACAAGATGAGAGGGTCTGGACGGAGAGGAGAGCCGTGGACTCTGAAGGTGGGGAAGTTTGCAACTAGTGAGGGGAGCCAGTCTATCTTCTTTCCAAGAATGTTGGAGGGGGATGGGGGGGGACTTGTATTAGTAAAGAAATAGAAATGGAGGTGACCTTTAGGGGAGTGAAGAACTGGGTGCCTTCAGGGACAGGGTCTGAAAAGTAGCTTGGCTCCTTCCCTCCTTTGTTCCCAGTCTGCCAGGTGCTCTTATTGTTTCCTCTTCCTCCAGATTCTTGTGTCACTGCTTGTGGTTAAGGACTTCAAGGGGCTTAGGGAAGTGTTTTAGCAGGAGGCCTCGAGTTCTTGATCCAATCATGTCAAAGCTACATATTTTCAGTCTGGGGAAGGAAAATGAATGCAGATGGGTTATTTACTCCAGCTGACTCATTTTAAGAAAACGGATGTTAAGTGGCTTGTTCAAAGTTATCCTGACAGCAATGAAAACTGGAACTAAAATAAAAATCCAAAGCCGAACGGTGTGTATGTTTATTATTTGTGAGAGACACTGATAAGAGAATAACTCTCATAAACACAGTACAGCCTGGAGCATACTGAATTGTAGATTTGGAGTTCTTAATTTCTGGTCTCTCTCTCTCTCTCTCTCTCTCTCTCTCTCTCTCGCTTTCTCTCTCTCTCCTTTCTCTCTCCTGCCTTTTTTTAGGTTTAGTTTTTGTTTTTGGTTTACAGTATGTGAAGGGATCTGTTTTCTGTTCTGGGATTTCCTGATTGAAAGGGCACAGAGGAACAAGCCTCATCCTGATATGAAGCCCAGAAGACTGAGAAGGGTTGAGAGGTACAGAGACAGGGAGATAGTCTTACCCTTGGAGGTGAGGTCGAAAGGAAAGTGATAGAGCTGAGATAAACTTCAAGTGTCCTTCTGTTGCTAAGAAGTCCCAGATGCCCCTTGACCTCTAGTCCTTGTCCCCTTAGGACAAATATATGAGGATGAAGAAGGACTGGAAGAGGATTATTATTATCAAGTGATCTATAATTACACAGTCACCCCCACTTATGGTGAGTATTTATAAGGCTCTGACCCTTAGCAGGATGGAGAGAGGTTTAGGGGATACTTAGTTCTGAGACAAAGTCTTTCTCTTTGCAATAGAGCAACGGGGTCAGAGAAATTTTGCTATGAGCAGACTATCGAGGCTCATGATGTTGTTTCTTAAGATAGCAATTTCCAGTTCTTTGGAACTGGTTGAACAATTTGAAATTTTTCAAATTTGTAAATTATTTTAGGTGTTAGATTGAAAATATAAATGCTCTTGTGGCTCAATTGGTTAGAGCATCGACCCATACACCAAAAGGTGGTGGTTTCATTTCCTGATCAGGATACATACCCGAGTTATGGGTTTGATCATCAACTGGGACACATACAGGAGACAACCAATGGATATTTCTCTCTCACATCAATGTTTCTCTCTCACTCTAAAAAAAGAAAGAAAATATAAACACATTTACAGACATTTCTCACATTCAAGTTTATTAGAATTAGATTATACCAGTAAATTTTACAACTTGGACAAGTTGAAGTGTTCTGAGCAATTTCTTCAGCTTTTCATTACTAGAGGTAGTACTACCATTCTCTTGTTACTACTGATTGTTTTCTCCTCTCCAGATTATTTTGGTGCAAATTTCACTGTTGATTACTCCATGTTTGAGTTAGAGGACAGACTGGTAAGTGACATCTAAGAGGATCAGGAGAGATAACAGTTAAAAAGAAACTGAACAATGTTGAAATGAAAATTATTAACAGAAATGAAAATGAGTTAGGAGAAGTGAAATTGGGGAGTGGATACGAAACAAATGTGTTATCATAGCTGGGGAAGAGAGCCAGAACCCAGTAGGTTAAGACACTAAGAGGAAGGAGTAGCCCTTGAGTCCAGGGAATTGGTGAATGGGATGGGTACACAATCCTTGCAAATGCAAGGTAAAGAGGATCCCCGCGCTTAAGTCTTGGAGGGTGAGCAGGATGGGGCTGGGGACAGGAGAAGCGAAGGAGAGATGAACTCCAGAGAATCAGTGAGGATGTTGGATGGAGGTGATGATTGATAACTCTTAGTTTCCTAATCCTACTGAGGATAGAACAGGTTGAATAAAGAGAACAGGTAAGCAGAAGAGACAACCATTATTCATGAAACAGAACGTGTAGACCATCAGAGGCCTGTAACAGTGAAACCAGTGACAGTGGAACCAGTGACAATGGAACCAGCGACAATGGAACCAGCAACAATGAAACCAGTGACAATGGAACCAGTGACAATGGAACCAGTGAGTTAATTGGGGATAAGATGGGAGGGACATGAGACATCCCTTACCCTGGATAGGTCCCAGGGCTGGTGACATGGAACAGAGGAAGGAATGGAATACCAGGCTTTGGTGGATGGGGAAAACAAATAACTAGTATTGTAATGCAGGTGTTCATCTCAGCTTCGCCATCATTTCTTTTACTGAGATTTAATACTAACCCTGTATACAGAACCCTGGGACTATTTGGTGCAGTTAAATTTCAGTTGGATGTGTAATGTATGTAACCTATGTTTATGTAACCTATGCCTAAAGCAGCTAAGGATGCTGCCAATGATGAAAAATAAATCCACGGTGTTGTTATTGTCCTCAAAGTATTTATGATACCCAAGTTTACACATATAAAATATTTAGAACAAAATGAGAAAATTTATAACAATGTTAAGTTACATACAAGTTTGAGAGCATATGATGTAGACAAGTGCTTTAGGCAGTGGAAGGAGAGAGATCAGTACAGGAGTTGAAGACTTTTAGAAGGTGATTATGCTGAGATACACTTTGAAGAATAGGTGAGCTTTTGATTGGTGGTACATTATAAAAGGATGAAAGCAATTAGGAAGCATAGCTATTAGAAGAATGGAAGAGCTGCATTAACTATGGGGATAGAACAAGCATGACATGTTTTGTAGAGGAGCTATGATTGAACGAGAGGGTATATGGAAAAGAGCAGTGGGAAATTAAGAAAAAATAAAATTTACAATACTCTTAATATTTGTTTGATAATTTCACAAATGGGAAGATAGAACAAAATAATAAGAATCTGAAATGTCAGGCTTTATTTTTTTAAATAAAAAAAGTTTGAACTTACAAGAAATAGGGAGCCTAGTAAGTTCTTCAGGGTGGTAAAGACACATTAAAAGCAGCATTTTAGAAAAACTATTTGTCTAGTTGTACACAGGATGCAATGGAGTGAAGAGAGATTCATGAGATTTCTATCATCCCCAAAACAATCCATTAAAAGCTTGGACTAGGGAAGGCAGTGGCATTTTGAATGGAGAAGAGAAAAAGAAATACTTTGGGGAAAAAATACCTTGTTTCAGTGATAATTTCATATGAACACTAAATGAGTAGAGAGTTAAAATAACATATTTTAAACATGGATATCCAGGGAAATGGTTGACCAAAATGGGAAGTGGGAGGTCAGAGGGTTTTAGAAGTGGTTATAAATTTGGTATTGGCCAAGCTGAACTCATGTTGTCAGCCCTATGAGGCTATCGTAAAGGTAGTGGAATTAAAAGAAAAGAAGATTAAAAAAAAAAAAAAAAGGTAGAGGAATTAGGCCAGGACTGCAGTTCTAAGTGCAAAGTCACAGTTACGAAAGTAGTGAGCTCAGTAGAGCTGTACACACAGGAGACCAAAAGGCCAATGCCTGTGCCTGTAGAAGGTGAAAGAGGAATCAACAAAGGAAATGCAGGTAGCTAAGTTTGTATTATAGAGTCTAGAAGAGAAAGTTTAATATAATCAATGAAAAGCTACCAAGAGGCCAAGGAGAAGGAGATTATTCATAACCCCCAAAAAGCAGTTTTAAGTGAGTGGTTGGAGCAAAAGCTAGACTTTGTGCAATTGGAGAGGGAGTACATTGTAAGGAAGAGCATAGACCAGCCGTGGGCAAACTACGGCCCGCGGGCTGGATCCGGCCCGTATGAAATAAATAAAACTAAAAAAAAAAAAGACCGTACCCTTTTATGTAATGATGTTTACTTTGAATTTATATTAGTTCACACAAACACTCCATCTATGCTTTTCCGGCCCTCCAAAAAAAAAAAAAAACGAACCCTTTTATGTAATGATGTTTACTTTGAATTTATATTAGTTCACACAAACACTCCATCCATGCTTTTGTTCCGGCCCTCCGGTCCAGTTTAAGAACCCATTGTGGCCCTCGAGTCAAAAAGTTTGCCCACCCCTGGCATAGACCAACCATTTGTGATATTTGGCAATGAAATAAAGAGAAGCAACAGGACCGAAGTACAGCCTGAATACAGTTGAACACAGATGGGAGGAATGGAAAGTTATAATTGACGACAAGGACAGAGAAACATTTTCAAGTATATAGTAGGCTTCCTTTAGATTATAAACTCCTTGAGTAGGAGCCATGTCTTAACCATATTTATATCCCTCCTATAGCATGTAGCACAGGGACCAGCACATAAATAAAAATACATATTGAATTGAGTTGAACCTCCCTGGTATGGTCAGGAATGGGTGAAAGGCACAGAGGAAAGAATTCTTTACGGTGCTGGGATGGAAGGTATGCTCAGAGGAAAGGAAGACATAAGTTGGTATAAAGAGATGGCTATCTTTCCAGATGGTGAGGGAGTAGTAGGCAGGATGACACTGGCCTACGATGGCGTGATATCTCTATTTTAGCAGAGTCCAGATATGAACCATGCTGTATCCAGTCTGCACAGTCCTGTTTCCCTTCTCCTGTCCTGGACCCTCCTTCAGGAGTGGATGTATTTCATGTAGAAGGTGAGAGTGCAGCCACTGGCCTTGATAAAGTCTGTGAAGCAATTTTTACCACTATCTCTAGCTAGTGTTTCCAGCCTGGTCAAGTTTCAAATGCATCAAAGAAGAGGGATCACATCTAGAAAAACCTTAGGAGATGTCGAGGCCAAGACTTTTGTAATAAGAATAATTAATTTTTTTGAACTGGAAGGATTTCAGGGCCCCCTAGAGCAGAAGCAGGTGGAATGGAGAAGAAACCTCTCCTGGTTCCCAGTCTGCCTTGAGTTATTAAAGGTGGTTCCAGCGTGATGGCAGTTTAAGGCATGGCAAGAGCCAGAGGGCGAAATGGGAGGGGCCCTATAACCTGGCAGAGTCAAGAGGCAAAGTTCAGAGACGGAAGGGGTGGCAGTTCCCTAATGTAGGGGAGTGGTGGTGGGGGAGAGGAGGAGGGAATAGAAACCTGTGTTATAAGGAAGGGATTTAAGTTGGGATTCTAAATAACTATGGGGCGGTGGGCAAGGGGGGAAATAAATAAATAAATAAATAAATAAGGGGCATGAAGAGATTTAGCAGAAGGAAGGGGAAAAAAGGGGAGGGGACACATCTTCCAGGAGATGTCATGGAGAAATATAGCTCAGAACATGAAATCTGGGGCGTTTTCATAGAGGTGGGGCATGGAGGGGTTTCCTGAGTCCCCTGAACCTGGTTGGTATTGTTTTCCTTTTTTTCTAGGATGAGAATGCTGTTATGACTCTTTGGATGGGGATTTGGGAAGAAGAAATTGGAAAATAAAATAAGTGAAATAATCTGGTTACTCTCTACTCCTTCCTGAGGGTCTGTTCTAAGGCTACAACACTAAAGGAAGCACCAGGATATGGGGGTGGGAAGGGTAGACTAGAAAGGGAGGTACGTGGCCCAGCAGGTGTGGCTCAGTGGTTGAGCATGGACCCATGAACCAGGAGGTCAGGGTTAGATTCCTGGTCGGGGCACATGCCAGGGTTGTGGGCTCGATCCCCAGTAGGGGATGTGCAGGAGGCAGCTGATCAATGGTTCTCTCTCATCATTGATGTTTCTAACTCTCTCCCCCTCTCCCTTCCTCTCTGAAAACATAGTTTTAAAAAAATATATTAAAAATAAAATGTTTTTTAAAAAGGGAGTTAGGTGACAATAGTATTAGGACTGTGAATAAACCTTAAGTTTTGGGAAGAAAGGAGAAAAGCACCCTCAGACAACAGGTTTATTCACAGTCTATGACTCCCTCTGATTCTATTGCTTTATTTGATTATATATGGTGTTAAAACTGTGTTTGGGGATAGTTGAAATTAGTTTATTTAGAACCCTTGTTTTCCTTTTATAAAATAAGCCTATTGTTAAACATATGTAAAATATAAAATACTACTTAGAATAGATAAAAATTTCACACCCTCCTCCATTCCCCCCCCCCCCCCAACAATGTGCCTTTTCCAATTAGTAATTAGGGCAGGCAGGGACATTAATTTTTTCCCTCTGTCCTCGAGACCCTAATCAAGACTGTGCTGCCCCCTTGCGGTCTCTCCTATGTTACAGCTTCAGTCCGCTTACAGTCCCTGAGTCCCTATCCCCTTCTCACTCCACGGTACCGTTTCAATACTGCAAGGGGCAGCGAACTCCGGACTTGGCACCTTCCCTCCTTCAAAGCCTTTCGAACTTCTCCAGGGGACAAATGGAGAAACTGAAGCCAGACAAACACCTCACCTGGAAGATCAGGGGCCTCCCCCCACCACGTTCCAGTGCTAGGAATCACAGAATTCGGGGTGCGGAGCCGGAGGAGCCCGGGTAGAAAGGCCAGGAACAATCGAATTCGGCTTTGACCTCTGGAGTCGTGGCGGGCTGGCATCTGAGCTAGTAACGTGCACGGCGGGTTATGTAAGGGAGGAGCCGCCCCAGCGGGAGCCCGAGAGAGAACGCGGTGTTCTCGGCGGCAGTCCCCACCCTCCCCACCCAGCAGGGCAAGAGGCACCCAACTTGTAGGAGAAAGAGGAGGGGACGGCGAGACAGAGACGGCGGAGTAACGAGGGCTGGGCAGCCGACAGGGGGCGAGGCTACACGGCGGCACGCATCCATTAAGACACACATTGCAGATGCCAGTCGCTGTTGGCTCCACGTGCTTCACCCGTGAGCGGAGGCGCTCAAAGCGGGGGCAGAGGGGCCGGATCCCGAGGAGCCGGGAGTCCTACATCTCGAGGCGTGCGCCTCAGGTCACGCAACCACTCAGCACACCCCGGCCACGCGTTTCCGGCGCACCACCATCCTATTTAAGGCCACGGCTTCCGCCCTTTTCCTCCCCTCCCTTCTTTTCCAGTCTTTTTCCATCCTCCTCCTTTTCTCATCACCGGGTCCTCTCCCCGAGCCGCATGTAGGGGCGGGGCACGGAATGCTGCCCTTCCAGCCAATCGTCACCTGACCGCCTCTCTATTGGCCGAGCCCCTGTGTGCTGTAGCCAATGGGGTGAGACTGTCAGTCACTGTGGTCACGTGCCACCGGCGAGCAGACCAATGAGGGGACGAGGTCTGTGTACGCAGGGGGGAAGGCACGTGCGGAACTGCACGTGTCTGGGAGGGGCAAGGGGCGGGACCCCCTGGGAGGGAGGCGGAGGTGGGGAGCCGCGACCGGAGTGTGCGAGGAGCTGAAGACAGCCCGGGCTGAGCCGGCCGACACAGGTGAGGAGACCGGGAGGACTGGGAGCTGCGCGGGAGGATCGGCCCGGGAGAGAGTAGGTGTAGGGACCTCTTGGTATTGGGAGGGATCGTATCACGTGGCAGAGGGACCCGAGAGGGTCCGGAGCAGGAAACCTGATGAGAAAGAGAGGGGGGGGGGGGGGGGGGGGGAGAAGGAATGTCTCTATGGGAGGGGTTCCTGCAGAGTCACTAGGTGGGTTCCGGTGCCGGAGCTTTAACGCTCCGGGGTGGCGTGACGTCCGATGGAGAGGCTCGCTGCGGAGTCAGGCTCGGAACTCATCAGGCGAACCATGGGCCGGGCCGGGGAAGGTGTTAAGTCAGGTATTTGCTCTTGAAATGAGGGAAGAGAGAACAGAAGTCCGTCGGGCTAAGAGCTGCTCTGCCAAGGCCAGAGCGGCAGTTCGGGTTCTTAATGGAGGCTGGGGAGATGGCTTTTACGATGGCCCTGAGACAGGTAACATTGGCGAGGCAGAGAGGAGAGAGGATTGTCCCGCTCCGTACACCCCAGCCGCCCAGTCCATTTCCTGATTCTCGGATTCTGGTTTCCAACTCCTTTGCTTTGCTCTTCAGTTGCAGGTCCGATCTCTGGGTACTCCAGGAGCTGCTCTCCAGCCCCTGCTTCTGAACCTATGGATTCTCCATCTAGCGTTTCCTCCTATTCTTCCTCCTCTCCCCCTTCCTCCTTTTCCACCTCCCCGGTGAACAGTGACTTTGGCTTCCCCTCGGATAGTGAGGGGGAGGAGAAGGGGGCCCGTGGCCCCAGGCCGGACACTGTTGGGCAGAGGGGAGGCTCTCGGCCCAGCCCCGGTCCTATCCGCTGCAGGCAACGACCCAAGGTTTCCAGGAACCAACGTACAGCATCTCACTTGGAACAGCGGGGCTTGGCTTCTCCTATGGCAGGGTCTGGGGTCAAAAGATCAAGAGATCGCCGTGCATTGGAGACCAGTCTAAACATCCGTGGTACAACCACAGAAGGAGACCTGCTCTTTGCTCAGAAGGTAAGAGAAGGGGGGGGGGGGGGCGGGGGGGAGCAGATACTACTGGGGTGTCTTGGCACCCTGCTACTGGTAAGGACCCTGTGAGGATAGTATTGGCTCCCGGATTTGGAGGTGGAAGAAGAATCAGTGCTGGTGTAAGCAATGCTCATAGCCTTCCTCCCGTTTTTCTACAGTGTAAAGAGCTCCAGGGATTCATACGTCCTCTCACAGACCTCCTGAATGGGTTGAAGATGGGCCGCTTTGAAAGAGGTTAGTTGCATTCATCCGAGCTAGGTTCACATCTCTCGCGTTTCCTCTCTCCTCTCTCTTTGAAAATCTGTTTTAAATGTGTATTTCTTGTAAGTCTTTGTTTGGGTCTTGATTATTCCTTTTTTTTTTTTCGGGGACTTAATTTCTGTGGGTGAATCCATTTTAACCCCCTGCTGTCCTTCCTTTCTGTACCTGACTAAATTCTTGAATTCCAATCCTTGATCTCTTTCTCACTCCCCGAACCCAGGATTGAGCAGTTTCCAGCAGAGTGTGGCAATGGACAGGATCCAGCGTATCATAGGTGTTTTGCAGAAGCCACAGATGGGGTAAGTTCTTCTGGCTCTTTCCTCGGTACGTCATTAAAAAGGAGGTATTTTCAGCCCTGTCATGTTGCTTCTTTCACATTTAATTGTGTTGGTTTTTTTTAATTTCTTTTTCACAGGGAGCGTTATCTGAGAACTCTGCTACAGGTAGAAGGAATGCTAAAGACTTGGTTTCCTCACATAGCTGCCCAGAAGTCATCATTGCGCAGTAGCAGGCATCAGCTGACCAAGGTAAGAATCTATAAACCTGAGGAAGAGGTGGGAAATTAACCAAGGAAATGAAGTGTACAATTAGAAATGGGCTTCCTCTTCCATTTCTTCCTGGGTCTTTTTATCTTTTCGACAAGTTCCTTTTCAGGGAAAATGAAACTTCCTTTATTGTCTTGATTCCTAGATGTTATTTTTGTTCTGTCACTGCAAAGGACTCCGTGAGATTTAATCCTACCCCTCAGATGGCAGCTTATCTGCTTTTTGCATAGATATAGAAGGCGCTTTACCTGGCCAAATGATTCAGGTCGGAAGGTGTCTCACTCCCTGAACCCAAATCCTTTCTCTCTGCAAATCTTTTTTTTCTCTGCTGCCCCTAAGATGCTTTCCTTCTCCTTTTTATTCCTACCCAAGTATGGTCATACCAGATCCTCTGGAAGCATGGGTTTAATGGACTGGTCATAAGTACATCACTGGGAGAGAGGAGGGCAGCCCTGGAGCACTCATGGGGGCTTTTTAGAGCCTTAGACCTAGTGTGGAAGTGAACTATTTTCTGGGCCTTCAAATAATAGGGTATTTAGGGGCACTCGAATGATAGGGAGGAGAAAGTTTCCTGTAGATAATAGACAGGCCTTGTTTTCAATCAACCACAGTTATCACCGTGAGAATAATCAATTTTAAAATAAGCCACCGGGTAGCTCAGATGGTTAGAGCATCGTCCCAATATGCCAAGGTTGCAGGTTTGATCCCTGGTTAGGGCACATATAAGAATCCACCAATGAATGCATAAATAAGTGGAACAGCAAAGATGTTCCCTCTCTCTCTTGTTCCCTTCCTCTCTCTAAAAAATCAATTAAATTTTAAAAATTATTAAAAATAACTGGGAGGAAAACAATGAAATCTTACCATTTACAATAGTATGGATGGACCTAAATAGTCTCGGGCATGTAAAGTACAGCATAGGGAATATAGCCAATAGTATTGCAATAACTGTGTAACTGTGTAACATAATACACCTAAAACTAATACAAAATAATGTTGAATGTAAACTGTAATTTAAAAACAAAATTTTACAAATAAGCAGGAAGATCTTGCCTGCATATTAATTTATACTTCTTAAGGCATTCAACATAGGAAATTAGAATTTAAAATACAGAAATGGGAAATGATTCCAATGAAAAGAAATTAAAAATGAATTATAAGTAATAACCCATAGGACTGTTTTATTTGATATATGTCTGAATATCTAGTGCCTAATATAGTGTGTGGTACATAGTGGGCCCTCAAGTATTTGTTGAGTAAATGAAAATATAATTTGGTTACTAAAACTTTTACTTAATTATGACCTGGCAGGAAATTATCTGTTGCATAAAACAAGGGATGTTTGCTTTGCAAACAGTTCCCAAGGAAAGCAAAGGTTTAAGTAACCAGGTAGAGTTCATCTGAAAGTTGTCTCATAATTTCTTTTCTTTTCTCCCCTTCCCTAGCATTGTCTGAGCCACCGCAGTTATCCAGCTGCTTCCTCTCCTGCACCTTCCCTGGAAAAGATGGAACAGACACAGCTAGGACATCTGGTATTAAAACCAAAGCAGCCTTGGCATCTCCCTCAATGGCCAGCTATGAACCTCACTTGGATCCACACCACTCCAATTTGCAACCCCCCTCTCAGTACTCCAAGTACTGTCTCCTTTAGCCAGGGTCCTTTAGGCACCGGAACCAGCATTGGTGTCATCTTTTTCCTTCAGCATGGAGAGCAGCCTTTTACCCACTCTGCCCCGACCAGTCCAGTTCCACCTACTACAGCATCTCCTGCCATCCCTGGTTATCCTAAGAAACTATCTGGAGAGAGACCTCGTTGCCACAGTTTGCCAGTAACTCTGCAATCAGACTGGAGCTGTCCCCTGTCCCCTCGTGATCTTCCCACCATGGCCAGAGAGAAGACTGTGGGACACCTAGAACAAATGAGAAGCCATCCTCCAGTTGCTCCTGATGTCCATCCTCTCAACCCCTAATCCAAGACTTGAGACTGTAGTTTCTAATTTGTATAAATATATGTCTGTACATATATATGTGTGTGTATGTATGTGTGTGTGTGTGTGTGTGTGTATTACTTTTAATGTGTGCATTTGTGTTAAGGGAAGAGAAATCCTTTCTGATTAAAGAAATTTTATACCTAAACAGTTTGCTGATTGGGGGGGGGGGGGAATTGAAACCTTCTGTTTCAAATACCAATATTTATCCTCAGTGCTGCAGAAAAGAAGGAAGGGGATGGGCAGGTTTGTGAAGTCGAGCTCCACCAAGTGGGAAGTCTGGATGGGACAATGTAAGTCCTGTGGGAAAGGAAGAGGGACTCTGCTGCTGGCTTCCTAGGGAACAGCCTTGGGACAGTTACAGGGCTCAGTTGGCTTTGTTTTTTTTCATTCGGGCTCAGAGAATAGTACCTTTCCCTTTGTGTCTTTCCCTCTTGTAATCATCCAGCTGGCCCAGATTAGCAGGTTCTTCTGCTTTGCAATAGCTCTTTGCCTTGATGGGAGCTGTTGATGCTTGTGGATAAATGATATGTAATCTGCTGCCAGAGGTGGGACATAAGAACCAGAACAGGCACTGTGGTTGCCAGTTTTGAAGAGAAGGGGTGCCCTAGAGTTGTTAGAATGGGGAGTCCCCTCAGACACTGGGCCTCATCTTTTTTTTTTTTAATTTTTTTTTATATTTTATTGATTTTTTTACAGAGAGGAAGGGAGAGGGATAGAGAGTTAGAAACATCGATGAGAGAGAAACATCGATCAGCTGCCTCCTGCACATCTCCTACTGGGGATGTGTCCGCAACCCAGGTACATGCCCTTGACCGGAATCGAACCTAGGACCCTTCAGTCCGCAGGCCGACACTCTATCCACTGAGCCAAACCGGTTTTGGCTGGGCCTCATCTTTAATAAAAAAGCTGCAGTTAAAAAAAAAAAAAAGCTGCAGTTGCTAAATGTAAAGGGGTGGGCAAAAGTATGTTTACAATTGTAAGCATGGGAAAGTTTATTGTATTATTATTGTATTAGTTATTATGAACAAGTATCAATCTACTCTTGCCCTCCTCTGTATGTTGGACTAAGGAAGGCTACCTATCCAGTGTTATCAGGTAGCAAAAATGAAGTCTGTGAAATTACCTATATATCTACTCTCTGTATAGTACTCTTCCTGATTTGTCTCCCTTTCCACCAAAAACCATATCCTCTCCCATTCTAAGTCTTGACTGTATATCAGACTACACAGTCATCTTAGTTATTGTTTATTGGCTATTGAGTATGTTCCTCACAGCTAGTTATATGTCTTTCCCCTACGTCTCAAGTCCTCTTTTCTCAGTGAATAATTGTTTCCTTTTATTTCAGAGAACATGACCTCCTTTCTAAAGCAAACCTCTCCATTTGTGCTTTTGGTTACCTTTCACTTCTGGAACTTTTGCTATACCACTTATTCTAACCTTTTTCTTTTGTAACTTCAATTTGTTCTTGAATTATTTATTCTTTATCCTGCAAGTTTTTAAAAAATGTTTTTCTTTATTGATTTTAGAGAGAGAGAAACATCAGTGAGAGAGATACATCGATTGGCTGCCTCCCACACGCCCCCTACCCCCACCCCCTGGGGATCGAATTTGTGACTCCTTTGTACATGAGGCAATGCTCAATCCACTGTACCACACTGGCCAGACTCTCCTATAAGTTTGATCAGGTTCCCCCTTCTTGAAAACCTCTCTTGTGCCTGATTGTCTTGTTTTTCTCTCCATACTTCTTGACAGAGTAGTCTAATCATACTTTCTGACTCCCTCCTACCACTCAGTCCTTAACCTCTTGTAGGCTAGCTTCTACTAACACTCTACTGCACCTTCCCAGGTCACTAATGAGCTCACAGAATCAGAGTATTACAATGTAGCTTCCACCCAATCAAGAGCTAGATCCAGGGGGCCTTTACAAAGGCTATGTAGTTCATGCTCCCTGTATCATTTGACACTCTGGATGCTGCCTACTGAAACTCTCCTCCCTCAGATCCCATGACACTAGCCTGATTCTCCTCTTACCTATCTGGCAACAACTTCTATAACTCTAAATGGCACCACTTCTGCCAATTCCAGAGTGTGGGTGTTCCCCTAGGCTCACACATTGGCTCTTTATTCTTCTCTGACAACATCCTTTCACTAGAGGTTTCATCCTCATGGCTATAATTATTGCCTCAATTTTAGAAGACTGCAAGAACTTCATCTCCAGTCACAATCTTTCACCTGAGAGATGACATAATGAATGTCTAAGTTCCTGCTGGAGAGTTCTATTTACATATTACTAACACTTAAAACTTATTAAAAATTTCAGCATTTTATATCCAAGAGGTACCATTTGTATCTGATCAAACCCCTTCATTTTATAGATGACAAAACTTAGGTGCAATTGGATTATAGTCTGGTGCTTTTTCTAGTGCTCACCAGTACAAACATTATATTTCCTTTAAAGATGTTCTGTTCTGCCTTCTTACAGTCTCTTTTTCTTCTGTTAGTGCTATCTATCTACCATCCTTTTCCCAGATAACTAGGCTTAAAACTTGGTGTTATTCAGTCATCAAATCCTTTTTATTCTGTATTTGGAATATCTCTTAAAATACATTTCTTCCCATTCATTTTATTGCCACCTCTCTGATGTAAATTTTGGCTATAGCAATAGTCTTTCTTACCTCCAATCCCTTCTCACAATAACCAGATAAATTTTCCTAGAACAATGCTTTGAGTGTCATTCCCTATTTAAATTCTCCAATGGCTCGCCAGTGCTTTAAGATGAAAGTCCAAAACCTTTAGTCAAGCTCTCTATTTTCCCCCCTGCTCTCCTGTGTGATCCCTCTGTTCCAGTTTTCTTATTTGACCCTGAACACTATAAGCCTTTTTTTAAAAATATGATTTTAGAGAGAGAGAAACATTCATGAGAGGGAAACATCAATCAGCTGCCTCCTGCACGCCATTGCATGCCCCCTACTGGGGAGCATGCCTGAAACCTGGTCATATGCCCTGATCAGGAATGGAACTGGCGATCTCTTGGGACATGGGACAACATTCTCAACCAACTGAGCCATAAACTGTAAGTCTTTTTGCCTCTCAACTCCTATTCATGCTGATTACTTTGTTCAGTCTTTTCTGGTTCTGTTAACTAAACCCTACCCTTCTGTCAGTGACTAACAAGTCTTTCTCCCAATTACTCTCTCCATTAAACATAGTATATTGGCTCAGCCTTTGGCCCATAAAATGAGATCATGTACAGGGTTTGGTATATAGTAGGCCCTCAAAATATTACTTTCCCCCTTCCTTTATTTCAAGGTATTTTTATATTTTATTTGATTCTCAACAAATTTTGTGTGATTGAGGGCAAATATCAGTTCCATTTTACATATGAGGAAATAGACTGGAGGTTTAAGTCAGGAATCAGCAAAAGCCAAATAGTAAATATTTTAGGCATTGTGAACCATACATCTCTGTTGCAACTATCCAACTCTGCCATTGTAGCCCAAAGCAGCCATACCTAATATATAAACAAATGAACACAGCTGTGTCCCAATAAAGGTTTATTTACAAAAACACTGGTGGAGTTGGATTTGACCTGTAGGCAGTAGTTTGCAGATTACTGGTTTAAGGGACTTGTTCAAGGTCATATGCCTGATACCAGAATTTGAATAGAATCCAGATTTCCTGACTTCTAATCCAGTGCTTTTTCACCATATTATGCTGTAGCCTATATAACTTATTTTGCATTTATCATATGCTACCTTGTTTTATTATTTATCTTTTGTCTACGTACTGTTTTTTGGTGATCCAAAAGGTACTGGATGATATCAACAATACTTAGCACAGAGCAGGCGTTCAATAAAACTTTGTTGATAAGCATGATGTCCCAGTGTAGCTCTATTTGGGTATTTTGAACATGGCTTACTCTAAAGTAATTAGCATAATTGACGAGGATGCGTGTAGTGTGTGTGTGTGTGTGTGTGTGTGTGTGTGTGTGTGTGAGTGTGTGTGTGTTTATTGCACGAGTAACTCCTCGTTGGGACTTGCTTTCTTGTTTTGAGCCTTTCCCTACTATTTTCCAGGAGCCACTAGATCTGAACTGATGTGAATAGCCATAAATGGACATGTAGAAGTGATATACGAGTAAAAGAAAGGCTGTTTCCATAGTGAGAAAGAAAGAAAAAAAGAGATATTTCTCTAGGTCTCACTAGGGGGCAAAATGACCTAAAAGTCTTCCATTCTAAACCCTGCAGGCGTTTCCCAATTCTTTATTTAGTGACGCGGCTGGCAAGATGATGTTATAGGAAACGCATGGTATGTTCATTTCGCTTCTTTTCAGACCAGTTTTTAGGCAGATGAGGGGTGTGACGCTGTTCTGCATCCGGAGAGCAGAGCCCAAAGAATCCGTGTTCGTTGCGACGAGAAAACAGGATGCATGCGCAGGGAGGTTCGCCCACTTCTTCCAGGAGAGAGAGAGAGAGAGAGAGAGAGAGAGAGAGAGAGAGAGAGAGATGGCTTGCGTACCTATTAAAGATTTTATCGTTCTACGGGGTAGGAATCGGGCTGATCTCCGGAGCCTTAGGACAACGACCTCCTCCGAAGGCGAGGGACTTGCTTACGGGAACGTAAGGCCACGGGTATTTTGCTTTGTCAGGCGCAGAGTCCGGCCCGGGGGTCTGGTGCGGACCGCGGGAGAGACCCTCAACCGGGCAAGAGAGAACGTTGCCATGGTTTCCGCGTAGGTTTCCCCCTCTCTTCTTTCAGCCTGGATTTCCTTGCGCGGCGCCGGGATTACGCACTTCCGCTTCCGGTTGCGAGGGGGCTCGCGTCGGCTGGGT